TATAAAAGGGAGTGGAGCAGGACAAAGGAGGTGGCCAGTCCTGAGAAAACCCCTGATTACCACCTAAGATGTCTGCTGGAACTAAAGAAGACTGAACCAGGTGAAAGGATTGAGCCCAGACTAGGAAGGAGTCTAGTCTGTGAAAGAAGCTTACTGGAATATCTTTGAGGGTGAGATATTACCTGTAATCAGTTTCTTAATGTATTAGGCTTAGACTTGTGTATTTTGTTTTATTTTGCTTGATGACTTACTTTGTTCTGTCTGTTATTACTTAAAACCACTTAAATCCTACTTTTTATACTTAATAAAACCACTTTTATTAATAAACACAGTGTAAGTAATTGTTACCTGGTCAGGGGGGCGCAAATAGCTGTGCATCTCTCTCTTTCAATGATAAAGAGGGCAAATATTTATGAGTTTACCCTGTATAAGCTTTATACAGAGTAAAATGGATTTATTTGGGGTTCAGGCTCCTAGAAAGGCTGAACACTGGATGCTGGGAAAGTCCCTGTTAACTGAGAAGCCCCAAGGCTGAGTGAATCTCAGTGTCTAAGGAACTCCGGAGGGGTGTGATCCTAACTCTGGCTCTGTGCTGGATCTGAACTGGAGAGTCTGGCTCAGCAAGACACAGGGGAAGGGTGCCCGTTCTGGCCTGAGTCTGCAGGCAGTGCTGTTGGCTGCTCACACTCAGCATAGTGGGGCTGGGATGCTGACACTAAAGCCTGATGGATGACAATTAAATTGTCACCATTTGCAGTTACCTCTATGCTGATCATTTTAGCAGAAACATCCAGGTCATGCACTTCTCCCTCACAGCTGGATGCAAGGGCAGATCCTGGGGAGGGGGGCAGGGGCAGATATTGGGAGGGGGCAGTGGGGAATGGAGAGCAGTAGAATACGGACCCTGGGCTTCAGAAAAGCAGACTTTGACTCCCTCAGGGAACTGATGGGCAGGATCCCCTGGGAGAATAACATGAGGGAGAAAGGAGCCCAGGGAAGCTGGCTGTATTTTAAAGAATCTTTATTGAGGTTGCAGGAACAAACCATCCCGATGTGTAGAAAGAATAGTAAATATGGCAGGCGACCAACTTGGCTAAACAGTGAAATCCTTGCTGATCTTAAACGCAAATGAGAAGCTTACAAGAAGTGGAAGATTGGACAAATGACCAGGGAGGAGTATAAAAATATTGCTCAGGCATGCAGGAGTGAAACCAGGAAGGCCAAATCACACTTGGAGTTGCAGCTAGCAAGAGATGTTAAGAGTAACAAGAAGGGTTTCTTCAGGTATGTTAGTGTTAGGGATTGGACTCATCCCTGCGGAGCCTCCTGCTGGTTGTCTGGGGAATCAGCTCAATTCAGCCTCCAGAGTGCCCTCTGCAGGCCGGTGATCCGCCTTGTCACGACTTCTGGCCCCCGTGTCCCTCCCAGGACCCCGGTGCCCTTATCTGGGGGGCTGCCCTCTGGCAGAACCCCTTGCTCTGGGTTTCCCCTCCCTAGGGAACCCCCACCCACTATCCCTACCTCGCCTCAGGATAAGGCCACTGCCAGTCTCCAACTAGCTCCCGCTCCCTGGGCAGACTGCAGTACAGGCCACTCATCATCGGCAAGGTTGGGTTTGGACCTGCTGCCCTCTGCAACCCCTAGTACCCCTTGGCCTTCTCCTAGGCCGCAGCCTGGGGCTTTCCAGGCTGGAGCTCCCCAGCACCTCAGCCTTTCCCCAGCCCTGCTCCACTACAGGTACCCTGAGTCTAGCTCCCTCCAGCCAGGTCCTTCTCTCTCTGAGTGCAGAGAGAGACTCTGTGTCTGAGCGCCTGGCTCCCTGCCTTTATAGGGCCAGCTGAGTCTGTTTGGGGCGTGGCCCCAGCTGCAGCCACTTCCCCCCCGAATCAGCTCAGCCTTCCCTGCCCCAGCCTTCTCCCAGGGCTGTTCCAAGCCCCTCAGGGCAGGAGCGGGTGTCCACCCGCTACAGTTAGCAACAAGAAGAAAGTCAAGGAAAGTGTGGGCCTCTTACTGAATGAGGGAGGCAACCTAGTGACAGAGGATGTGGAAAAAGCTAATGTACTCAATGATTTTTTTGCCTCTGTCTTCACAAACAAGGTCAGCTCCCAGACTGCTGCACTGGGCAGCACAGTATGGGGAGGAGGTGACCAGCCCTCTGTGGAGAAGGAAGTGGTTCGGGACTATTTAGAAAAACTGGACGAGCACAAGTCCCTGGGGCCGGATGCGCTGCATCTGAGGGTGCTAAAGGAGTTGGCGGATGTGATTGTGGAGCCATTGGCCATTATCTTTGAAAACTCATGGTGATCAGGGGAGGTCCTGGATGACTGGAAAAAGGCTAATGTAGTGCCCATCTTTAAAAAAGGGAAGGAGGAGGATCCGGGGAACTACAGGCCAGTCAGCTTCACCTTAGTCCCCGGAAAAATCATGGAGCAGGTCCTCAAGGAATCAATTCTGAAGCACTTAGAGGAGAGGAAAGTGATCAGGAACAGTCAGCGTGGATTCACCAAAGGCAAGTCATGCCTGACTAACCTAATTGCCTTCTATGAGGAGATAACTGGGTCTGTGGATGAGGGGAAAGCAGTGGATGTGTTATTCCTTGACTTTAGCAAAGCTTTTGATACGGTATCCCACAGTATTCTTGCCGCCAAGTTAAAGAGGTATGGCCTGGATGAATGGTCTATAAGGTGGATAGAAAGCTGGCAAGATCGTCGGGCTCAACGGGTAGTGATCAATGGCTCCATGTCTAGTTAGCAGCCGGTTTCAAGTGGAGTGCCCCAAGGGTCGGTCCTGGGGCTGGTTTTGTTCAATATCTTCATTAATGACCTGGAAGCTGGCATGGACTGCACTCTCAGCAAGTTTGCAGATGACACTAAACTGGGAGGAGTGGTAGATACGCTGGAGGATACGGATAGGATACAGAGGGACCTAGACAAATTAGAGGATTGGGCCAAAAGAAATCTGATGAGGTTCAACAAGGACAAGTGCAGAGTCCTGCACTTAGGAAGGAAGAATCCTATTCACTGTTACAGACTAGGCAGGGCCGGCTTTAGCAAGTGCAGGGCCCGATTCCTGGGGCTTGTACTCACCGGGCGGCACTCCCAGTCTTCGGCGGCACTTCGGATTGCCGGCCAGGGGAGGGGGGTCACGGGGCTTTCCGCGCTCCGGCCGGGGTCGTGGGACCATGGGGCTGCTGCGTTCCGGCCAGGCTTACGGGGCCATGGCGCTCTGGCCATGGTTGCGGGGCTGCGGGGCTGTCGCGCTCCGGCTGGCGCTCTGGCCAGGGGAGTGGGGCCACCAAAGACCCCGGAGCGGATCGCCGACCACCGGGGTGAGTAAAAAAAATTAAAAAGGTGCCTAAGGCACAGGGCCCTCTTAGGCGTGGGGCCCGATTCCAGGGAATCGGGCGAATCGGCCTAAAGCCGGCCCTGAGACTAGGGACTGAATGGCTAGGAAGCAGTTCTGCAGAAAAAGACCTAGGGGTTACAGTGGATGAGAAACTGGATATGAGTCAACAGTGTGCCCTTGTTGCCAAGAAGGCTAACGGCATTTTGGGCTGTATAAGTAGGGGCATTGCCAGCAGATCAAGGGACGTGATCATTCCCTTCTATTCGACATTGGTGAAGCCTCATCTGGAGTACTGTGTCCAGTTTTGGGCCCCACACTACAAGAAGGATTGGAAAGAGTCCAGCGGAGGGCAACAAAAATGATTAGGGGGTTGGAGCACATGACTTATGAGGAGAGGCTGAGGGAACTGGGATTGTTTAGTCTGCAGAAGAGAAGAGTGAGGGGGGATTTGATAGCTGCTTTCAACTACGTGAAAGGGGGTTCCAAAGAGGATGGATCTAGACTGTTCTCAGTGGTAACAGATGACAGAACAAGGAGTTACAGTGGGGGAGGTTTAGGTTGGATATTAGGAAAAACGTTTTCACTAGGAGGGTGGTGAAGCACTGGAATGGGTTACCTAGGGAGATGGTGGAATCTCCTTCCTTAGAGGTTTTTAAGGCCCGGCTTGACAAAGCCCTGGCTGGGATGATTTAGTTGGGGATTGGTCCTGCTTTGAGCAGGGGGTTGGACTAGATGACCTCCTGAGGTCCCTTCCAACCCTGATATTCTATGATTATAGGAACAGTGAATTCAGGCCCCTCCCTCCTCCATCCAAATACAGAGTGACCTCTGGTCATGCTGAAACAGGGCGGGGAGAGAGGAGATACAATCCCCCTTCTTCCCCCAGGTACCAAGTGCCTCCTGGATATCAGAACAAATACACACTCCCCCCCCCCCCCCACATGCCCCTTCTTTCTTTACATGGCTGTGGAAAGGCCAGGACACAGGTGGATCCCATGTGAAGGATCCTGTTAAACATTGCACAAGTCTCACAGCCCCAGCAATGACCCTGGCCCACCCGGGCCAGGGCTACTCAGGTCTGGGCTCAGGGTTCTAGGTCTGTAATTTCCATGGGGTTTCTTAGGACAAATGGCCCCTCCCCCTTCAGAGCCCGTCTGGGTCAGCGCGAGCAGCCCTGAGCTCACTGCTGGGGCACTAGTGCTGTTACAGAGACATTGCCCCTCACCCGTTCAAACACTAGCACCTTCTTTGTAATTGTTCCACCCCACGGGTGTTTTGCACTTTCTCCAGCACACACATGTAGCTCCCTCCCGCCCTATCAGAATGTCTCTGTACAAATCCCTCCTCACCACAATGCCAGCTGAAATGGGGGGCTCTGCTGCATTTCCCACCCATCACAGCTCCCCACTGCTCTGCAGTGTCCCTGCTGCAGGTGTTTTAGCCATCACTTCCTATGGGCCTCCAGGCACAGCCATGTCCCCAAGGGGAGCAAGGGAATCCCCTACTGTGACAATCTTTGCACTGAGTCCCAGCCTCCCTTTGGCTTCATTCCAAATGTCCTCCCGCCTGGCAATCTCTAGTTGACTGATCCACCACATTTTGGGGAAATATTCTCATATAAACATTATCCCACCCCATTGGCCCCACACACTGACCTTGCTCACTTTCCAGTGCAGATTGCAGCGTCTCTGGGGGGAGAAAAGGGGGAAAGATGAGATTTCACACTGTTGTGTTTATGGGAACAACCCTAATGTCAGTTAATGTAACTGGCCCAGTCACTGACCTTTCTCGCTCTCCAGTGCAGATCGCAGAGTCTCGGGGGGGGGGGGAGGGGGAAAGATGAGATTTCACACTGTTGTGTTTATGGGAACAACCCTAATGTCAGTTAATGTAACTGGCCCAGTCACTGACCTTTCTCACTCTCTAGTTCAGATCGCAGCGTCTCTGGGGGGAGAAAAGGGGGAAAGATGAGATTTCACACTGTTGTGTTTATGGGAACAACCCTAATGTCAGTTAATGTAACTGGCCCAGTCACTGACCTTTCTCACTCTCTAGTTCAGATCGCAGCATCTCTGGGGGGAGAAAAGGGGGAAAGATGAGATTTCACACTGTTGTGTTTATGGGAACAACCCTAATGTCAGTTAATGTAACTGGCCCAGTCACTGACCTTTCT